ACTTGACCATTCTCATTTGAAACCTGGTCATAAGGCTTCTCTACTTTCTCATGCGCAAACACTCGAGTTATATCGTCTAAATGCAAAAAAGACAAATGACCCAAATCTTCAATTTGAATTTGCAGCTTTTATGGTTGAAGCTTCAAGGGCCATGAATGACGAAGAAGCTAAGAAACGAGACGAACTTGTTAAGGAAGGCATGGCATTACTAAAAAAACTTGCAGACAGAGGTCATGCAAATTCACAATACTTTCTAGCCGACTGCTATGCAAGCGCGATTGGTACACCAAAAAATAAACCAGACTTTGATAAATCTTTTCCCTTATTTGTTCAAGCCAGTAAACATGGCCACCCTGACGCAGCTTATCGAGCTGGAGTATGTTATGAACATGGATGGGGTTGTAGAAAAGATTTTGCTAAATCTTTACAATTTTACAGGTATTATTTAAAAATAATTTCATGATTAAAATGAATAAAATGGATTTAAAATCAAATATGTTTATTAAAATAAATTTTAACATCTTTTTAAATCAGAAAATCAGCATCAGCAAGTCATCCTGGCGCAATGTATCGTTTGGGTATTGCAGAATTAAGAGGAGAATGTGGGTTATCAAAAAATCTTCGAGATGGAGTCAAATGGCTTAAAAGAGCAGCTGAAGCAGCAAATGAAGAATTTCCACATGCTTTGCATGAATTATCAGAACTTCACGAACGAGGAGTTGATAATATCGTATATGTTGATATTGAATACTCAGTTCAATTACTTATAGAAGCAGCAAATTTAAATTATGCACCATCAGCGTTTAAATTGGGAGAATGTTATGAATATGGAAAAATGGGATGTCCACAAGATCCAGCATTATCTATTCATTATTATACCATCGCCGCCCAACAAGATCATCGTGAAGCTTGTTTTGCCTTGACAGCATGGTATTTGGTCGGTAGTCCTGGAGTTTTGCCTCAAAGTGACACAGAAGCATATCTTTGGGCAAAACGTGCGGCAGAAAATGGACTCCCTAAAGCTGAATATGCAGTTGGTTATTTTACAGAGGTTGGAATTGGAGTTAAGAAAGATCCACTAGCTGCAAACGTTTGGTATCGTCGTGCAGCCGAACATGGTGATAAACGAGCTCAACAACGGTTAAAAGGTGCACCAATTGATGACAAGAAACCAAAAAAAGATGACTGTGTGATTTGCTAGACTATCATTAATATCACTAACTATGGTTGGACTTTAATCATATTTATTTATTTCCTATTTTCTATTGGGTTTATCATTTCCTATTGGGTATATTGTGATGAAAAAATTTTTTTTTTTTAAAAAAAAAAAAACAAAAAAAAATTATATAACAATTATATAAAGATATAAATTCAAGGATTACTAAATAATTATTGTAAAATCTGTGTATGTATGCATTAAAGATTTTTTTTTTTTTGTAAAATTTCCTTTACTACATATTTACTTGATATATTACTTGGAATGTTATCATAATTATATAAATCGTATTAATACAGTATACAACCAACAAAAAGTAATAAAAAAAAAATTTAGAGCGACATACGTACGTACAATACAGTACGTATGTAGAAATTTTTTATGGAGGAATTAAATTATCTTTTTTTAATTAGTATCAATAAAACATGTATTTGGTGTACAATATAAATTTAAATCAAACAAAATATCGATATACAAAATTAAATATAAATATTGATTTTCTTAGATATCGATATCGATACGTATACATTTGTGATAAAAAAAAAGTTAATAATAACGATAACATTTTGTGATCAAATGATCATCAAATAGTTTAATTAGCATCAATCAAAAAATAGTGCCCGTTTACTGCGTCTACTGCGTCAATGCCCATTGTTTGAAATGTCTTCCTTGATACATCTCAACAGGTCGTTTGGCATACTGTACTGCAAACAAAGTGCACCGCAAAGTGCAGGTTGATGTATCCGCATATTATCTACATATTATCCGCATATTTATAATGATTAAATATGTACGTGCCCGGAATATATCTCCGTTCACTTTGTCAAAAATTTTCCCAAATATAAGGAAATTATCCCTTGGGACAATAGTATGTTTTATGATCACCGTCAAGAAAAACAAAGATGTCTAAATATAGTTATATAACTTCAAATTTTATAATTTTATTCTATATTTAGACTTCTAGTTTTTATTACAAATCAATGTTTTAATCTTCAAATCTTTCCGGGTACGAATCATATAAGATCTACGTACGTACGTACGTGCGTACGTGCATTATTCGGAGTGAAGCGGAAAGCTCTATTAAAATTATGTAAAAGATATCCCAAATTAGGAAATTAGTTTGACATTCGTAATTACAAGAATTGATGTCACATTTGCTGGCCAATCAATTCATAAATTTTAAAAATGCAATCTCCTTTTACTAATTGTTCGAAACATAGCGAAGATCCTTTACCGGTCAAGAATCGGGTATGTTATATTATTTTATCCGAGATTTCTTTGTTATTTTCTTTCATGTGTTATGATGTAATCAGCCGATAACTCCCTGCGAATCATGATCATAAATGGCCGGATGATACCATTATTGGAAAAGCTTCGAATAACGATAACGGTAATTTGGCTCAACCTAACAAACGATGTACGTACAGTGATGTAGATTGGGCAAAATTGGACATTTGAACACCATTGGATCAGATCGGACGTCCAATCGTGATTCTTGGACATTTTGGCAATTGGACCTTGTCGATCTTTGACGTCCAGTGTCCAAACTAGGGATGTGAAAAGTTCGGTCCGGTCCAACTCGACTCAGTCTTAATTTGTACTCGGTCCCAAGCAGACTAGGGACAAGAACTCTTCTGTCATGTAAAATACGTAACACCACATTATTTAAGTAATACAAGGTTCAAACTTTGAATCTTGTATTACAGATAACCGTGGTTTCACACGACAGGGTCCCAAGTCTGCTTGGAACCGAGTACAAATTATGACTCGACTTCTGGAGTCGAGTTGGACCGGACCGAACTTTTCACATCCCTAGTCCAAACTAACATTGGACATGACAATACTGCGTACGTACGCACGTGTTTATTTGCCAGCCAAATTACCGTCGAATGGTGCCATTCAGCTATCATTCGACCAAACATGTCGAATATTTGTTGATTGTTCGGTTGATTTTCAGTTGAATATTGTCGAATGTTTGATCGAATGTTTGATCGAATGTTTGGTCCAATGTTTGATCGAATGTTTGATCTAGAATGACAATCGTTTTTTTTTTTTTTTTTTGATTTTGACGATATAACTCGAGTGTTTGCGCATGAGAAAGTAGAGAAGCCTTATGACCAGGTTTCAAATGAGAATGGTCAAGT